CCCCCCCCCCCCCCCCCGTTATGTTAGCTCCACAGGCTTCCAATTTGCTACCGAGCTTGAGCCTATAAAGTAGTGGTCCTCTAACTAAGGCCCAAGGGCCAGATACGGCCCTCCAAGGTCATTTACCCGGCCCTCGCTCAGGCTCAACCTAAGTCTGAAACGACTTGAACGCACACAACAACAACAACAATTCTATCTCATCAGCCTAAAGCAGGCCCACACATCCCATTGAAATACTAATACGTTTATATGTGTTATATTTGTTTTAATTAATATATTGTTTTTACGTGACTTTTGCACTACAAATAAGATATGTGCAGTGTGCATAGGAATTCATTCATATTTTTTTTCAAATTATAATCCGGCCCTCCAACAGTTTGAGGAACTGTGACCTGGCCCTCTGTTTAAAAAGTTTGAGGACCCCTGCTATAAAGCTCTCAACAGTCCTGGCCCAGCTTCTCTGTCCAAATGTCTCTCCCTCTATGAACCACCGCAGAGTTTAAGATCTTCTGGGGAGGTCCTGCTCTCAGTCCCGCCTTCCTCGCAGGTTCGACTGGTGGGGACGAGAGACAGGGTCTTCTCAGTGGTGGCTCCTCGACTGTGGAACTTCTCCCCCCCCCAGTGATGTTAGATCACCCCCCCCCTCCCATCTGACCTTCTGCAAGAGAGTGAAATCGTGGTTTTGTGACCTAGCCTTTAAAAACTGGTGCAATAGATGGACTTGGGATTTATGTGAAATGACCATTGGAGTGGCTCGGATTAAGTTTGTGGATTACTTGTTAAACTCTTAATGTATTGCTTTTAAATGTTTTAATTGTTTTAATGTGCTTTTAAATTCTATTTTTATATTTATTTAAGTGTACATTGTGTTTTAGGGCATCGAATTGTTGCCTATGTTGTAAAGCCGCCTTGAGTCCCCTCCGGGGTGAGAAAGGCAGGGGCGAAATGTCCTAAATAAACAAACAAATAATAGGAGTAACCTGTTTTGTAAATAAAGAATAGGAGTAACCTCAGTCCAGCCCCCTTTATTCAGGACTAGCCATCCCCTGCCATGCGTTGCTGTGGCCCAGTCTGTGTATATGTGCTTTGTGTGTGTGTGTGTATGTATATCTCTGTGTATATGTGTATATATGTGCATTTGCATATATATGCAGTATATGTGTTTGTGTGTGTGGTTTTGCACATGCATTATAATGCAATTTTTTGGCTTTTTAAGTCTCTCCTACTGTGTTTTTCAGTATTTTTATGAGTGATGGTCACTCGTTGGACTGATACTTGTATTGTGTTCGAATTTAGTGTCAATTCGTCCAGTGGTTTCTGAGTTATGTTAATTCCACAAACAAACATTGCAGATGCATTTATATAGATTTACTAGCTGCCCCCCTGCCATGACATCACATATATTAGAAACCAACACTTTCTCATTACTTTATTTTCCAGATCAACAGACTGGGCCACAGCA